ATTGCCCTTTAACGTCTTTGCGCTTACTATTAAACCTTATTACTTTAAAACTAAAAGTCGTAGAAGGATGGGGTTAAGTGCAATGTGACCCTTGACCTTTTACCTTGAATATTTGTTCAAGGTCAAAGGTCAAGGTCATTTCCAAATTTCTAAAATTTTAATAATTTCCATCTCTCAAGCCATCTCTGGTTTCTCCTGTATAAAAATAAACAGTAGAGAGTTAAATGTGAAGAATATATGAAATTTAAAGAAGGTGGAAAGACCTCTAATTGTTCGAGAACAATTAGTCTCCTAGTTATTATTATTATTTTTCCGCTACGGCCTTTTGAACCGAAAGACTTATCGAAAAACTTTATAGTTCATGATACTTGACATCAAAAGTTATTTCGAAAAACTACCCAACGAGTATGACCTATGACCCCTTTTGGAGTTCTTGCCCCTTGTACGAAAAACCTTGTTATCGCTACTCCTTCGAAACCGTAAACCATAGATGTATGGAACCTTCACCAATGTCTTCGACTAATTAAGGGGACTCTTCAATCTTTTCATTGCAAAAGTATTCGTCAACCCCTTTTATGAGTTATTGCCCCTGAAAGTTTTTGATGTTTACAAATAATTAAAAATTTTCAAAACGATAAGTCGTAGAGACATGGTACCAACTGCATAAGATTCATTGACCTTTGACCTTGAAATATATGCAAAGGTCAAGGTCAAGGTCATTCCAAAAATGAGAAATTAAGCTCTTTTTACATCTCTTTTGTCTTTCAACATATACTATATATCTTTGCATCTTTAATATGTACTCTTAAAACAATTTCAAATATTTTATACTTGTCCCCAAAGTTTAACCCCTTTAAAAGTTATTGCCCTTTTTATTAAAAACCTTGTTATCGCTACTCCTCCGAAACCGTAGACCGTAAAGACATCAAACCTTCACTAATGTCCTCAGGGTCTTTAGACACAACTTCAATTTATTCAGTGCGAAAGGGTCCAATGACCCCTTATATGAGTTATTGCCCTTTAATGTCTTTGCGCTTACTATTAAACCTTATAACTTTAAAACCAAAAGTCGTAGAAGCATGGGGTCAAGTGCAATGTGACCTTTGACGTTTGACTTTTAATATTTGTTCAAGGTCAAAGGTCAAGGTCATTTCGAAATTTTTAAAATTTTCATTTTTTCCATTTTTTAAGCAATTTCTGGTTTCTCTTGTAAAAAAATAAACAGTAGAGAGTTAAATATGAAGAATATATGAAATTTAAAGAAGGTGGAAAGACCTCTAATTGTTCGAGAACAATTTGTCTCCTAGTTATGTCTTTTTTTTTCTTTTGATAAGAATCGTCTCGGAACAATACAATAATCTGCTGTGCACGATAAATTTTTAATGCACACTTTTATATGATTCATTTCAAACTAAACATCTTCTTTTTAGATATATATAAGATCATTACCTAAATATGCAATATATACATCATTGATGTAAATAAAATCCAAACAAAACTCGGAAGGGGAAATCTCACTATGGTCGTTTAGGACGGAAGACTCACTGTATAGTCATTGCCCCCCCCCCCCCCCCGGAGGGGAAGTCTCACTATATAGCCAGACTTCCGAGGGGGGGACTCACTATGGGGAAAGTCTCACTATATCACCGGTAGCGGGGGGGGGGGGGACTGGCCACCAACATTTTTCTAGCCATAACTTTTTACTACTGAAAATGTTCAATGAAAGTCTGGTTTTCCCCCTCCCACTTTTTGTTGCAGTTTTATCAAATAGGGGCCATGTACATAGTGATGTATGAGTAAAGTTTGAAAGAATGAATTTGAAAGATGTTGGACCCCCTTCCCCCCAAAATAGAATTTTCGACTTTGAAGAATTTTCCTCTCTTTTTTTTGTTTTTGTTTGTTTGTTTCTTTGTTTTTTCTTTTTTTTTTTTTTTTTTGATTGTCAAGAGTTTTAGGTAGATTATTTTTTTTTCTCTGGCTGCTCCTTTCAAAAACAATGCTACGTCTCTAAGTTTTATCTGTATTCGCTGTAAAAATTGCCAATATTTATACATGTATACATGTATTAATATTTTGAAAATCTCAATATTTTAGATTATTTTTGGCGATATTTGATTTCCAATTTGCTAAAATAGGTAGGCAATGTCAGGCCGACATTTTACGTATTTTTTGCCAAACGAGACATTGACAAAATATTTTTTTTGAGTTATTCTGATGTCAAACACTGTGTGCTTACTAGAGATATTTATTTCTTTATTGAAAAGTGCTATTTCTATACAAAAAATTAATACATATTTTCATAAATACCGGGGGAAGTTTCTATAGTATGCCCCAGTCTGGCCTGGTTCCGGCCACGCCTACCCATGACTTTCCGCACTACTTTGCAGAGCATTATGGGTTGGCCGAAACCAAAATAGCCCCGGTCCCCAGAATCACGCAACTGCGCATGAACAGTTACTATCCTGAAATAAAGAAATGTCAGTTCAGTGGAAGCTAGCTAATATATAGGGGTCCTAAAAAACCACTCAATTTATAAGGGCATACTAGTAATTTTCAAAAAATATTTAATATTTTTTATATCAATAAGACTGAAATTCAATCATCCAACAAATAACGTGAATATAGAGTTATATTTTTCAGGTGACAGAAACTACACAATTATTTTGGAGTTTTCTTCATCATTGGTCCGGTTTTAATGACCCAGGTTTTCTTAAAATGTGTTATTTAAAGCAACAAAAGCACATCTGAAAGAAGAAATGCTTATAAATAGTTAAAATATGATGTTTAACATCAGAATAATTTGTAAATTTATTAGCTTTTTGTCTTTAAAAAAAAACACTAAAAATGTCAGCTTGATACTGCCTTCCCATTTTACCAACTTGGAAATCAAATATCTTCGAAAAAAATCTAAAATATTGACCATTTCGGGGCAATTTTACCGTGTATATAAATAAACTTATAACTAACATAGCTTGAAAATTTGGGCTCGATTGATAAAGTATTGAGACAGAAAATTGAAAAATCTCGAATAACCCCAGTCCGGGTTTGCGTACCTAATTTTACCAACACTCGCAGCGAACACCCTGGCACCTAGCGTTATAATGCCGCATTAAATTCACACTACTTGTATTCGTCTTCGTTGAATGCGCTTCATGGTTTGCGTGACTGAATTTACATTTGTAAGAGATGATCATAATTATTTATTAAAGAAACTGTATCAATTTAAAAGAAAGAAGAACGAATTTACAAGAATAAAGCAACATAGAAGTAAGGACAAAATGAAGAATGAAAAAAGTTCCAAGTGAAATGTAATAAAGACGAATATGAAAACAATAAAGTGACATATAGTTACAATAATAACAAAGAATAAAGAAGTAGGCAGAATAAGAATAAAAGCAAGATAAATAGACTTTTGGCGGTAATTCCCTTCCATACATATTACGTAAAACCCTTCTTTTGAAAAGATCTATATCAAAGATTTACCTTTCATTCAAATAAAATACTTTGACCTTAACTGTGCTCCATCCTGGCCTCGGTACCCATGTCGTAAAGAAAATTGCATATATACTGTATGAATTTACTTGAGTGAATGTTGTTTCTTCTGGTCACGTAACTTTTGAGTTAATTGCTATTATTTACCGTACCCTAATTTTTATATCTATTAACCATCTCTCCTTAGAAAGGAATATTGTTCTTCTTTTGAATAAACTTAAGGTAGTCCGTTCCTTGGGTTTAGAAAATATATGTTAAGTAATTGAAATGCTCACAAAAATGTCACTGAATTCACAGTCATGTTATATCTTGAAAGTTCATCATCATGCTAGTTAATCATATTATACATATATATTAGGGGAAATTATAAAATTTATTAATCAATCTATGAAATATATTTGCAAGATATCATAGATCACTTTCAATCTTTTTTTCTTTTTATACCATGCTAATAAGCATTGGTATCTAAGACAAGATTAAACTTTAAAGAAATTCGATTTCTTTAACAATATTATTAGTCCCCTACCGGTGAAACCAGAGGTTTCCTCTGAGTCTGTCCGTAGGTCTGCCTGACAGTTTGCCCCACTTGGTTTTCCGCACTTTTTCAGATATTGAACTTTTTGGTATGTGAGTGCATCTTGATGAGATACAGATCAAATTTGCATTTCGTTCCGCTTCTTTGATTTTTTGACGGAATTACGACCTTTTCAATTTTTCAGGGTTTTCCGCAATTTTTTTTCTAAACGCTTGCAGATATTGAGCTGATTTTTGGTATCTGATTTTACCTTGATGAGTTATAGATCAAGGTTTCATTTCGTTTCACTTCATTGATTTTTGGCAGAATTATGGCATTTTCAATTTTTAACGGGAACCAGATTACACCTGCCGGTAGGGGACTAGTATTGCTAATGCAATATTCTCAGAATGCTTGTTTTTTAGTACTTTGAAGGGATGCAAACGTCTAAAAAAAACTGTCGTTTGCACCCCGTAAAGGACGGTTTCTAAGATTTCAAAGAACCTTGAAACATATGAAGATGCATAAAATGAAAATTGTTGCACAAAAAATCTTTAAATTTCAAGCTTCATTTTGAGACTTATTCAATTAAATTTTAGGAGTTATTGTACTTGGCCGAGGAGCGGACATCCTTAAACTGAATTTCTAGGTTTATTTGTGTCATCTTTGTTAAAATTGATTTTGGAGTGGAAAAAGTGAAAATTTTATGCGGACTTTTAAAAAGAGATGCATGGCAAAGGTTTTTTTTTTTGTAAAGAAGTATTCAAATATTTAAATGAGCTTTACATTGTTCATTTAGGAGATGGCAACTAAGTGTACAAATACCACCAAAATATAACTCTCAATCCATGTGTGTTCTTTGTGCTTTTATGTTCGCTCGAGATAGTAGGAAGCCGCAGGTCTAACGCTACCAGGGTCTTTGAAAAAGTTTGATTTAATTGGCATACATAACCTGAAATATTTGAAAATGATTACAGCTAAATAATACTTTTAGACCTATGGAAGCGGAAACACGGAAGAAGTTGGTGTTATTTTACAGAAAGGTATAGTTTCAATAGTAACAAAGTAAGTTTGCGGAATGTAATGAATGGTTTTATAATGCATATGATGAATATTAAACAAAGAAAAGTTTCATATAATAAAGTTACTTTGTACATAGAAGAGGGATCATAAATAAGCTTGTTTCTGTCAGGTATATGGATTCTGATGCTGTCTTGCTTGCCTTGCTGGGCTTTGTTCTTGAACACTGGTCTGATTCTTCAATCATTTGGAATGGATAACGATGTATCCAGGTACTTTATATAGGCTGTCAATAGAGTTTAACGTGAATTTGTTTCTTATCGTTTCAGAAAATATATATTAACTTGGTGTGAGAGTGTCTGTGTGTGTGTGGGGGGGGGGGTGCGTGATTTACAAATAGAAAGGTAAGTTTAACTTGATCTTTTCAGATTTTGAATCAAGGTATAATATGTATGTACTATCCACGTTAATCTGACCAGATTGAAAGTTTTAATGATTGTTAAAATGAAATTTGATAGAAGAACGTATCCCTGACAAACTGTTTTCAGTTTGTGACTTTTTAATCACTTTTGTTTGGTTTATCTTCTTTTTTGTGCCTTTATCAATCATCAGATATTATCATAGTAGTATTAATTTCTATTTTCCAATCATTTGTTTTAATCTCATATCTGATATTTTCTTTAGGTTTCTTCCCATCTTTACTCTTTCAATCATTATCAAATCTTTAAAAAATATTATTCTACTATGAAACTGTGATATTAAGGTTTCAGATGTTCAATTAAGGTAGAACCTATGTCGGAAAAGTCTTTGTCACAAGATTTTCAAACTTTTCAAAATGATAAATTAGCACTCGCTTGTCAATCAGATAAAAATATATGGTATGTTTCCTTGTAATTAAATGTAGGACAGCCTGTGCAACTTGGAATGATAATTTTACACTGCGACTACATATTTTCAGTCATTTTTAGGGGTACTGGCCATAATGAGAATATAGAAAATCACAACAATACTTCTTCAAACATCGTCTTTAATAGACTTTATCAACTGAACCGTATTAAGCAATATTATTCAAGAATAAATTCTTTTTTATTCAATTGACATAAAAGATTAAGTCCACATTTCAACGAATATAGGCAAATGTGCTCAATATTTTTTGAGTCAATTTACCACCTAAATTTGTATATATTTTTCAAAAGTCTTTGTCAGAATGTTTTCAATCTTTAATATGGTGAAGAAGATACCCAAATAATTACAAAAAGTGATTAAAATATATACCTTTCCCCACAAACGAATGAGAGACACTCTATTTATCAATACTTCTTTTGTTGACCTTTCTGCACTAACACAGGATTTATTTATTAAATGACTGTTCTGCAGTTGCGTTCAGATTTACAATGTAAATATTTATCAAAAAATGTAATTTTTTTTATTTAAAAAGATATTTTAGGGAAACCTTATTATTATACACCAACCATTATGAATAATTAACAAATAATTATGAAAGGGAATGTACGTCATTTCATGATAGACATTACAAAATTTACACACAATATTTAACAGATCTTTGACCCGGAGACATTTTTATCAAGATATTGTACTATTTAAATTTCTTAGGTTTTTTTTATTTCCTTCAAAATAGTTGCATACCATTCACAGTTGTGTAACTTCATTACAAGAGGCAGTCTTGGAGAAAGTACGGGGGAAAAGGAACATTAAATTAATTATGACGTCATAATGGATCTAGCATAAAAAAGACGGTCTAAACTGGTTTACTTGATATGACGTCATACGACGTAGGTTCTACGTTAAATCCAGCAAATGGCATATTTTCTATGAGGATCAGGTTATGCTCTATTAGAAGATTTTACATTCCCATGTGGAACTCACTCACAAGTATAATGATATTGATGATACATACAATGTAGTTCTATTCGGTCTCTGAACAAACAGGGATGTATTCTGGAGCAGTTTCACCATGACCGACTTTGCATACATTTCCTTTTTGGGATGTATACTACTACTCATCTTTTAGATAGGTGAGGTGATACATGTACAAAATTCATAAATGAATGAATATGTAACAAGGTTTGCGACTATTTCAACCCTAAGCTCATACAGTTCTACGTTGTACAAAGATGTAAAGACAATGCCAGTAAGGATGCATACTAATAACTGTGTTGCATATGACCCATTTTTACTTAGAAATTAATGAATCGATGCACGACAAGCCTTGCATGAATGACATAACTTGGAATGGTTGCTTTGATCCAGATAACCCAATTCTGAAATTACAAAGATAAATTCTGCATGAACCAAACTTGCATAAATATTGCATCTAAGGATGGATATCAATATTGATTCTTCAGATGCTCTACGCGTATTTCGCTTTTATTTTTATGGTTCTGAAGTGCATGTAAAATATCTAAATCAAACGTCTAATCGCGAATTATTTTTCTCGCGATTAGAGTCTAAGGGCCATTTCGCGATATAAAGTACTCGCGTACAATAAGGGATTAGGGATATACAGTATATGATCTTTATTTGCTAGATGAGTGATCAGGTTAAAATTTCTGAAGGAAACTAATTTCCAAGCAATCTGTTAAGTAAACGTTATGAGTATTCGTTTAATGCACTTTTGGAGTTCATATAGTTTAGGATTTTTACATTTATTTTCAATATTTTGCAGTATTGGAGGACAGTTTGCAACGTTATCTATTCCTAACTTACCGGTAATGGATTTTGTAAAATAAGGATGATAATGAAGAAATCTAGCTTTTTTAGCTAAATACTTCAACTACTTCTAATCTTACGGATATTTTTTGAAAATCTTCTAGGGCCATGGCTTGGACATATTACTGCGTAAATTTTTGCAAGCACAGGTAAGAAACAAGTATCAAAAGGAGTAATAAAGAAATCAGTGTTTGCTTTCCATGCTTAAACTGTTAGGATAGATTTCAGAATATATAGAGGATATTCAATGTTTTGTAGTTGGATATGGAATTTATTTCACGAGTGGGACAGGATTTTTTTATGTTTTCACGAGTGCGATGCACGAGTAAAAATATATTTAAAAAAAAAAAATACTGTCTCACGCGTGAAATAATTTCCATGGCCAACTACAAAACATTGAATTTCTGTTTATTACATTTTCTTTGATTTTCCCTTTCCCTCTGTCATTTCTTAACACAGTGTCATAGGCTGTGACGTCGTAATTGAGATGTAATATTGCGTAGCAGTGTGAGATTTAAAACATTGTAACATGGATTTCAGCAACATGTTTGGGAAGATATTGGCAGTTTTATCTCTATGAAGATAGTTTAGTTACTATCTCTATCTTATGACAGGCCAAAAATTATTTTTACTTACTTAGATATCCTTTCACAAAGTGACAGAATATCACTTTGGTATCCTTTCACACTGTGAGAGAATATTACTTTTATTCAATAAATCAATCACAGTATTTCACTGTTGAAAATATAATAAATGTTTATATTTTTCCAGTCTATTGTTATACCTAGTCTGTTGGTTGGAATTATTATAAACATGGTTAATGCAGGATTGCACGCGTTGTTTATCGATGTGATAGGATTAGAGACCAGGTATGTCGTATTTCACATTATGATCTGCTAATGATTTTGATCGAATGTATGTCGAAACAATTCAAAATTAATTTTCATGCCCCGCCATAAAATGACCGGACATATAGTGTTTGTCATATCCGTCTTCCGTCCTTCCGACCTTCTGTCCATCCGTCATTCTTAGCTCAAAGAAACTGTTCAAGATACACAAATACACTAATACAAACTATTAAAGCTATTCAACTGTGGCACAATTTTCTGACCTTCCCCTTGTCCACACTATTTCCTATTTTGTGTTAATCTTAGTACTATTCAAGATATTTTTATCAAAATTCATACACTGTTTCATATCGGTAGGAGCTTTTCAACTGTTGTATTATTTATTGACCTTGACCTCACTTTTCCTTATTTTGTGTTTAGCTCACTTTCAAAGTATCTTTTCAGGATATTTTCAGAAAATCATATACATGGATATATTTCAACTGGGTCGGACCTTGGCCTCTCCTGTGACCTTGCCTCATTATTCCTATTTTGTATTTAACTTAGTTTGTAAGCACTATTGAATATATTTTTATCAAAACTCTTACACTGATATATAGCTAGTTGTATAGCTAGTGGCTAATAGCATAGTGGTAGCTATTTAACTGTGTCATAATTTTCTTACCTTGACGTTTTCTATGACCTTAACTAAATCTTTCCTATCTTGCACAGAACACGAGAGTTATTCAGCCGTGTCATTATCTCTTATCTTGACCTTCCCTGTAACCTTGACTTCACCATTCTTTATTGTGTCGATCACAGTTGATCCGGTAGATTTAACAATATACACGCACATTACGCCCTGTACTACTTGTTTCCCATGCACTAACACCTTCATGTAAATTTTTCAGAACATTTTATGTACTAACGAGCATTATTTGGATGCATTTACCTTGAGATGCAGAGGTTTAATATTCAGTTACACGGTGAATAAACTTAATTTTTCCTTTACATGCGTAAGAATTTCATTTGGAAGTACACTTCCCTTAAGGAAGAAGTTTATTCGTTTATTGGTGTTTCGGAAAGCAATCAAATCGAAGAAAGAAAGCGCGACGCACTTGTATCCTATTTTATTTATAGCATTGTGGATTTTCATCTTATCTTTTATGAAGAAATTTCAAATCTCAGCGATTTCAGTGTAGATGTATTTTGAATTTAACCATGATAATATTTTTAAAAAGTGGTTGACACATCACTTATCCATAGCACAATATGAAATCACATTCCCTCCATCTACCTACGATGACGCTATCTCTATTATAGAATGTTTCGATTGATTTTGCACATGGCTTATAATTCTTTGGAGTTTAGCGGGAAACACACTCTCGCAATGCCATGGTTTTGTGATTTCGGAACATACAGTTGACATAAGTTGTTATTTAAAAGTTGGGCTAGAAAGCTACTATTTTATTTGTTCCTGGTCTAGGACTGGAGCCAATCAGAAAACAGTTTTATTGTAGGTAAGCTTTGTAAACAATTACGAATCGTCTTTAAAATGGTAAGTGTCAATATTGTAGGATTTGTGACTAGTTACTTTAAATGAAACATCGGAGATTGATTTTTTGAAGATCGCCCTCCTTACAATCACAATATATATGCTCTGGAGTTGGGCGATTTGATAACGACGGATTTGAAAAAAAATATTTTCATTGGATAGTTTATAATTGCCCGTTACGTCATGTGTAACCACAAGCCCAAATTTTAAATAAAGAATTATGTCAAGGGTTTGTGTGGAGTTCCGAAATCACAAAACATTACGTACAAGGTCATTTCAACTATTTCTTTGCCAGGGATATTCCTGAACATAATTACTAATCCCTTTAATAAGAAAAGAAATCGTTAACAAAATTGACTAGATTTGGAACTGAGCAGAATACATACATTTTATTAAGAACTCTGAAAAAAAATTGCTAGGTTATTTAACTGCAGAGTTATTTTTCTTTACAGAGGTTTAGCCTATTTAATTTCATGTCACCATCCCCATTAAAAAATGTTAGTATTATATTTTCCCAGACAAAAAATAATTTTTGGAAGGCAACTGTGGCCATAATACTTTATATAACAACAATGCCCCTTAAAAATTTATTCTTAAATTTAAATTTGGTATGTTTAAAAACATTTTAATAGGGCTGTGCTTTACAGGTCATACTCAGTTGAGAAATAATGTGAATATATATATATATATATATATATATATATATATATATATATATATATATATATATATATATATATATATATATATATATATATATATATATATATATATATATATATATATATATAGATAGATAGATAGATAGATAGATAGATAGATAGATAGATAGATATACTCCTAGAAAAAAATATTAATAAGTTAATTAAAATAAAAAGAAATGTCTACAAACTTATTTCAAGGCATTTTATATCTCTGACTTTATGATCCCATGCCGATCATTCCTTTAAAAGGAATACTTGTTTTGTGTTTAGCTCAGTTTGAAAGCAACTAAGATATTTTATCAAGACTCTTATAACACTGATACATATTGATGGGAGCTATTTGAATGTTTCTCAATTTTCTGACCTTGACCTTCATTACGACCTTGACTTCTTTCTTCTTCATTTAGCACTTATGTTTCAAGACAGTTCAAGATATTTCTTCAAACTTCAAAGATACTAATTGATAAGAGCTATTGAACTGTGTCAAAATTTTCTGATGTTGACCTTTCATATGACATTGACCTCACTACGTGTATTAATTTTATTTTTACATTTTGCACAGTTAAGAAGCAACTGTTCATAACCTTGTCCCTCCTTATGACTCTATTCTTCCTTTGACCTTCACTTTTGACGAATTTTAATCAATTTTATTATGTTGAAATACATCTTTAAGATATTGGTGAGAGCAATTTCAATGCGTTATTATTTTCTTACCTTGACCTTTCCAATGACCTTGAACTCACTTTTCTTTCAGTTTTCAGTTATCTAAGTGCTGTAGGAAAAATTGTAAAAATTATTTCTATTTTCAACATATTTTACTAACATGTCTCTGACCAAAGAAGGCAGGTACTTTTTGTCATGATACAATACAAATGGATCAAAGGCAGGGCATTCATGTCCTATGGACATATGTCCATATGAACTCATGTCCTAGTTCATATAAGATAGGTCAGTCAACAGACAAAGTTCATTTCCTCTTCATAATATAATTTAAGGTTCAATTAGCATCAGTTAATAACTCTCATTGGGATTTTTTTTAATTGTTTACTTTAAAGGTCATGTTTATCAAATTCTGCGGCACAAGCTGTGCTGAAATTATGTGCATTTTAATTACATGTATGACTGGAAAATCATAAGTCTTAAAGCAAAATTTTATATAAGTGAACAGAGGGGTGATAAACATGTACCTTAGATATACAAAAGTCACGCCTCTCTAGAGTTAATTAATATTGGATGGAAATGGGCAAGGAACGATGGGAGGGTATTGAGTCTGCGCATACTTTGACAAACTATTTTTAGACGTACTTTATTTTAGAGGAGCGGCTCTCGCATTGACCTTAACGTACTGGTGCTCGGTTTTATTTCACGTGCTGTTTATCATATGCAGGGGATACTACAAGACCACCTGGAAAGGTACTTTGTAAATGTGTCATTTATTAAAGCTATATTCATTACAATGGGTATAACTTTATAGTATGTATGCATCATAGTGGATTAAAAATAGCTTAAATGTATGTTTGGCGCAACATGTTGTACATAGTGTGATGCACCATGCAGACGTTATTTAGTTTTTATCTGAAAATTTAAAGATGGGTGAATAAGGAAGGGGGAGTATGCTCACAAAGTGTCAGTTGAGAGTAAAGGAAATGTCTCAATTGCCAAAAATTGCCCATTTTTAATTCAAAGCATATTCGAATGACAGCCTTTATTAAGAATTACACCTTGAATACAGCGCGTTAATTTAACATATGCGAAACATGACTTGTTTTTTTTTATTCTGAGCTTCCCAAAACGAAACAAATAGGTAAATCGACGCGGATTTTTTATACATGATTAACTTCGCAAGCGAGCATTCGTGAATAGGAAATTGGTACACCTTATTCATCCATCTTCTTTGCATAAAAATGCAAAAATGGCACCAAAACACAAGTCCAGATAAAACACGCATATGATTGAAACGGGAACTGCATAACATATGCTTATCATTTCTTGGAGAACATACTAATATGTCTTAATAATAACAAATACTGTCCCTTTGAACCTCACGAAAAAGATGGTATTAACACACAGTAATCAATTGGCAACGGTCATCATTTACTTGTATGTCATATGGTTTTCAAACAACTTTAAATACACTAACAATTCAAATATTTAACATTTGGGTGTTTTATTTCTCAGCGGTAATCATTCAACTTTAAAAAAAAAAAAAAACCAAGAACTGTCGAAATATCGTCAGAGAGAGATTTACACGAGGTAAAGTTTTGTCCGTGGTTTCTGCGGTAACAATAAACAATTGCTTTTATATCCCAGGTTGGAGTAGAGAAAGTTTATATGGTTGGGGAACCTTTATGAAGCTGGCTATTCCAGGATTATTCATGATGTGCTTGGAGTTCTGGAGTTTTGAAATCATTACTCTAATGGGTGGTATGTGTATTGATTGGCCTTTCTACGATGTCAATCTTTGTTATACTACTTTCAAGAAATTTAAAATAAGCTCATTATCATATGTAAAAATATTTATTTTGTTGGTGTGTGAAGTTTCATTCCATTCGATTTAATAGAAACCAATTTACTTTATTTTAAAATCAACATGTTTGATAACCCCGGAGCACACATAACAACATTATAACGTCAAAAATACAGCGTCATGAGGATATCAAAATATTCTCCCTATAAATTTCACACAGGCACGTCCAGTATCTGCTCATTAAAAATGTGTTTTCATCAATTGAAATTTATTTTGCTAACAATTGTTTCAGTGGCATAATTTTGTTTGTCAATGTTTTTATTAAACCGCTTAACCATGCTTTCAAAAGATCAGCAACCGTGACGCGCCTTTCTCTTTCTAAGACCTTAGTAAATGAACGTCATTGGTCAGATTTTTACAGATAATCCCTTTCCTCACAGATCGTCCTCGTCTGATACAGAGTCTATATCATTCAAATACCGCCTGTCCCATGCACATACACACACATTTATGACTTGCTTTTCAGATATTTCATGCTTCCTACTACATTTTTAGATTTTATTCTGACGTTTTCCAGAGTACAACAGAAAATTGTATTGTAAACTGCTGCTTCGTGACATCTACGACGTCACCTTTTTTTTGGGGGGGGGGGGGGGGGGGTTCAACGAGAACTACCTATCTTCAGAAATTGATTTCTTTTCCACGAATCAAACAATTAATTCATAATTTGGAAAATGAAATGATGTAACAATTCTTAATTTGATTGTCTAGATTTTTTTTTTTTTTTTTTTTTTTTTTTGGTTTTGAACCATTTTATAGAGGATATGACTACAGACATTAATTTGTGTATTGTTTGTAAATTACTAAATTTTGACTTGCTCCGCGAACCAATTTTCGCAGTTTTTAATTCCTAAAAAGTTTAAAATGAATACTGATATTTTTAAAATTTTCAATACAAATCATTTGAATTTATTGTTATTAAATATTTATTTCTACTAAATTTGGATATAATATGACGTTAAATAAAAAAGATATGACAGAAGTCCACGAACTTTTCGAACAACTCTCGTACTTACTTAAAATTCTTTTTTTTTTTTTTTTTTTTAAATTGTTCGGTTGAGGGAAAGGGAAATTTCTAAAACTTTGATACATCGGTAAAAAAATAATTTGGCTGAAATTAAATAGTTTAAATCTATATCAAAGGAGTATTTATACTGTTCATTTCCTAGAATTTCTTTCCATGTTACTTTACAAAGATATTTGTCAGTCCTGTAATCGAAATTGTTTAAGTCATCATGAAATTCCAAACTTTTATATCTGTATCAAATAGCTATATAGACATCTTATGTTACTTTTGAGGTTTGACAAAGACAGTTTGATCAGTAAATTTTTACAAGTCTACAGTTATCCATTAAATCAAATTGAAAGGAACTTGCACTCTTTAATGCATTCTCTTCGAATCAGTATGCAGTGAAATCAACTCAAATATTGTACTATGCTGGATGTTTAAGTATATAGGTTTGCTTTTCAGGTTTTTTGGGTAAAGCCGATTTAGCAGCAAATACAATAATTTATAATGTCGCGCTACTGATGTACGTGGTATGTTATTGAAAACAACATTCTTATTAATGATAAATAAACTTTTCAAAAAGAAAAATGAATATTTTGCAATTTGTTTAGAAAAATGAATATTTATTTTGCACAATAACTACACAGTACATTTCAACAAACAATAAATTTAGATATAAATAATATAATAAACAATAGTCAACCCTTCTTAAATTGTACTCGGGATTTTAACATTTTAACAAACAATGTATTTAGATATAAATAATATGATAATCAACAGTTAATTCTACTTAGATTGTATTCGGGATGTCTGGTGCAGGGGGTATTCGTGTTGGACTCTACCTAGGGACAGGGGATACTAAAATGGCGCAAGTAGCATCAAGGGTAGCCTTAGGTTGTGGATGTAAGTATTTCTTATTTTGTATATGAATAATTAAAAATTTCACTTTTTCATCCAGAAAAAAAAAAAATTTTAAAGTTAAAGTTAAGGACAACAAGTGGTATTTGTTTTAACTAATTTTTTTTTATTTTTAAAGTACATAATATAAACTTCTGAAATGAAAAAAACTCGTCCATTTTATCTAATTTTGATCACTTTTCTTTTATAGTGTGTTTTGCTGTCTTAATTGCTGTTTTGCTTGCCTCTCTTAACAACTATATTCCTCATATCTTTTCGAATGATAAGTAAATATATTTTTCTAACGGATGTTTACCTGTCTAACGTTAATTTCAAATATTAGTGTAAGAGTACTATCAAGAAGGATGGACATATAGAGTATAGGAATGTTGCAATTTGGTTATTTAATCAAATCTTTGTGAATATTGCCTTAAATAATATAACTGGATAAATTCTATAGATATCATGAAATGATTGTAAAATAGAATGGCCGATTAAATACTGGTTGTAGGGATGTTTTAGCCCTGGCTTCACCTATGATGCTCCAGCTTGCAATATTTAAAGTTACAGATACGATACAGGTACATTTTATACATTTGCTTACCGGATAGGCTAAATCTTTATTTAAAATGCACACATATCACATTATCATGGTGGCAAATTTCTGCCCCTTACATGCAAGATAAATAAGGACAACATGCAAGAAAAGTATGCCAAAATGCAAGATAATTATGAATGTAAGATAACTATGTTGATATGCAAGTTACCAAGCTATTGCGAGAATCTGATTCAATATGGGTAAATTCACTTACTAATGCCAGTATCTGACGTCAAACATGCAAGATGCAACATAATCATGTTGACATGCGACTAATTTATGTCAACATGCGAGTTGTTATGTTGGCATGCAACTTATTTATGTCGACATGTGATTTAAGTAATTAAACATTCAATCTGCTTATGTTGACATGCGAATTAACTTCAACATACGAATGAATTATGTTAAGATGCAAGACATGCAAGGCATTTGTGTCGACATGCTAGATAAATATGTTGATATGTGACTTCTTTATGTCAACATGCAAAATAATTAGTTGCATCTAAACATACCTATCTCGCAAACAGAGAACATAAATGAGTCGCATTTCTGCATAATTATATTGCATGCTGAAATAAGTTAGTGGCTTATCAACATATATATGTTGCATTTTTCAAGTTTGATGTCAGTTACTGGCGTTAGTAAGTTATTTTGCCTATATTAAAAACAGATTCTCTATAAAGATTTTCTTGCATGTCAACACAATTATCTTCCATGTAGACATAATTATCTTGCATATTGATATACTTTTTTCGCATGTTGACCTAATTTATCTTGCATGAAAGGGATAGAAATACGTCACCATACTTTATAGTGTTCTTTGGAAAAGGTTTTAATCCCTAAACGATGTTGTATTCCTATCAGCAGAAATATTTCTTGCTCGTTAAGATAATAAAGAGGGTATGTGAATTTGACATTTTACCTTGTACAAATTTACAAGGTCAACAAACTAATTTGGATTGCATACATGTATTAGAATATATCACCTTCAAGTACGATTTTATATGACGTCTGTGTGTAAATAGGCAGTAAATACTAGTATAAGTAAACGCGCAATAAAACTACAAATAGATACACATGTACGCAGTAAATATATGTAAACGTGCAACAACACTACATGTGCATGTAGATGCATATGTATGCTGTAAATATATGTTAATTAATGCACAAATTTTTCATGTAGCTATACATGTACATGTTTGTTGTAAATACATGCTCAACAAAACTTCATGTAGATACACATGCATGCAGTAAATATATGTAAACTTGTAAAGATTATTATAAAAAGAACCTTTAATTTTGTTTTGAACATATTTTATTACATGTATGTAATAAATACATAGCTGGATTGGGCAGCAGGCATAGCCTATATAAGCCCTCTCCACAGGTACAAGGTTAATTAAAATATACATAGTACTACATATAAATACAGGTTCATATCACCAATAAGTTATAGTTAAGTAACGCAAAATTGAATGGAATTTAGGAGAAAATTTTAAAAAAAAAATAAGAGTGGAAAAAAAATCAAATGAATACCGGTTTATGTGAAAATAAGAGAAACAACTGAAAAATGGGAATTACAGCAATTTATATAAAATACAATGAATGTGTATTTGATTTAAACAAGAGACAAATATTTCATAATTTCACATCATTTATGAAACCTCTTGATTTGTGAAATATATTTATGAACACAATCAAACAATTTCATATTTTTGCATAAGGAATATTACTATCACCAAATAACAATAGATTTAGAGATACAGGATGTTGTAGGTCTACACTAGATATACAATTAAAAAGAGTATTTCTTTGCTCGACATAACATGGACACTCTAAGAAAAAATGATATGCATTTTATTTTGTCCACCATCAAATCTAATCACAGATTGAGCAGTAGATGTTAGGACGACATTTTTTGTATGTTTAAGGCAACTGGTGGTGGACTGCTGCGCGGAATAGGTCTCCATGCTTTTGGAGCTATTTTCAATTTTGTTGGTTACTACATCATAGCATTGCCCATATCAATACCATTGATGTTTGCAACATATCTCCGAATTGCAGGTAATTATTATCAATTCTCATGTTCATTAGGTTGAATATAATTATAACTTTAAAAATATCTAACTGGAATACAATTCATATGGAAAAGTCATACAATTAGCTGTATTAATTTTTATTCTTTGACAGGTGCCTACTGGGGAATGATCATTGGATCCTTTTTAAACTGTGTGATTTACTGTGTCAGAATTTTCACACTCGACTGGGAGGAGGAGACAAGAAAGGTTTGGCTTTTGAACAAGCTAGATTCTTTTATTACAATAATTTACAAAGTAGATGATATTATATGTATAAACAAATATAGTTCTTGTTTTGAATAGAATTCTAACATTTACATATATTTAAGGCCTTGAAAAGAGCTGGAGTTGAGGAAGCAGACAGAAACACCGATAAAATAATCAAATCATGTAAGACAATTATACTGAGTACTTTAAGGGGAAGAAGGACCTTTAGCTAAAAAAATACTTGTCATTCAATTTTTTTTATATTTTGTATATTTCTAATTAAGTATGTCCCACATATCTTAAAGCAGTTATATCATTAGGTTTCTTACCTTATTTTAGAGATATTGATTGACAAATACTATGCCCTACAGTATCTAAGTGGAGTTTTACTTCTCCACGTTTCCGGGTTTTTTACTCTGTCCATAATGGGATTTTTAAAGCATATATAAAAAATATGTAAGTGAACATGTATCTTTTAAAATATTTTAGAGTTTGAATAGGGTTTAAAATTCGAAAAAGCAAGTTTCTTCTATCACACTGCATCTGGATAGGGAAAATTACGAACTTTTTAAGACAACTTAAACAACAAAAAACATAATTCACAAAAAATTCTATCATTCAATATTTTTAAATTTACGTTGAAATGCAAGTCCTTCTAATTATTGATTAACTGTAAAAATTTCGAATGGTGAAGCTGACCTCAATATTGCAAAGGGCATCGTTAAAGAGGACATAAGCATGATAAAAACGTGTCATGTTTACATTTCTCGAGTACGGGAAAAACCATCTATGACGTCACACGTAAGCTAAATAAGCGAAATAAGATATACCTACATAAGATTTCCGTCATCAGCCATGCAAAAATAATTTTTGTGCTCCCCGTTTCTCAAAATATTTCATCATATACTGATTATGACCTGTTTTTATATAATAATACCGCCCCTGTATTCACCGAGTATGATCTTGCTGTACTAACAGATCGTGTATGACGTCACCGACGAATTGGACACGCAGTTTAGGGAAACAGAGGAGTGGATCAATCTTTTTCATAATTTGTTTACGTTTGGAAGAATATTAAACTTTTCATTTTTTTGTTAATATTAGATGGTAATTAAAGAAAAAAAATTGTCAAAAAATTATACAAGAACTGATGCTTTACACGTTTTGCACTTATATAAACGGAGACTGTGACGTAGTTAAACAGAGTCATGTGACCATGTGTCCTTCATCCCCTTAATTCAATAACAAGCAATACAAAGTTATTTTATAAATTAATGCAACTGATAATAACATAAATATACGAATATCAGAAATAAATACGGACAATTTATCTATTGCTGTGACAAATATTAATCTATATTTAGCAAAAAGTAATCAGAGTTTTTTGAAGTACTAAAGACAGTTGCTACAAAACATCCCCGTTTTTTAAAAAAATTGATAGGAAAACATGAAAATAACAATTTATATGTTAATAAAAATAATCGTATATGTTTAACTGCATAAAGTTTATTTTTTCATTCAAGGTTTCACAGTATTTTCCAATAGAGTGATTTTAAAAATTATATTTTATACATAAGGACGATGTAAGAACTTAGGAAGAAATCAATGAAAGTCTACGATTTCTTTTATTTAAGAGATTCTATATATGCATCACTTATAACCAAAATGAGTCCATATCAATATAGTCATCCAATTATTTTTATCATAGCATGTGTCCTGAAAGTGCTTCTGGGACTTTCTTAAATTTCAAATTCATATCCTTGCAGCAGATGAAAAACAACCAATACGAATGGCAGATATAAATTTAAACGATGGTAGTAAGTGTTACAATTCCGTGGATGGCTCTATCCAGACTAGTGCACAAGCAAATAAAATGGACAATTTACCATCATATCACCAAAGAATTTTATGTAAAATAATCACTTTAATATCATTTCTGTTGATACTAGTTGGTGGTGTTTGTATAAGAATTTTTGTTCGTGTTTGATCAATGTTATTATGGATAATAAAAATTGTATTGAACCATTTTTTATTTATTTTCCTTCTTCCAGTATTAGATTTCGTATCTAAAATTGGACAATACATGTATACAGATCACTTCTATACTCTAGAGTGAGTTCGGAGATGTTAAAATCATATAAAAGTTGGGTTTTTTTTCAAAACCACGTCGCGTAATAAAATTTTAAATTATTATGGAGTAGAATGAAGTAAAACTTGTGATATATATTTATTTGCTTACATTATATAGATAAATACATGTATTGTTTTCAATTACTTTATATGGTCTAAAATAATGTTAAGAATACTTAAATCTTTTTCAAGTTGTGTCATTTACCTTAATATTTCTGTTTATTCTATATTACATCAAAGAGCAGATCACTCTAACTGCATGAAACTACCATGAATTATATTAAATCAGATGAATTTTTTTCTGTAGCCTGTCTTTTGTCATTAACTTTTCACATATTCAACTTCTTCCCAGAACCACTTGGCTATTTCAAACCAAACTTGCCTCAAAGCATTCTTAGTAATGTAAATCAGAAATATTGAAAAAAAAAGATGGAATCATTTATGAATCTAATCAAGAACTGCTTGACCAGAAGAGACAAAGTGAAACGTAACTCAAGCTTCCGATGGGGGTAAAGTGGAGCTCATTTCAATATTGACAATAGTTTTTAAGATAAGAATTACATACTCTAAAGTTGACGTTTGTTTTAAAACATGATGAATGATACTCAGTAATTTTATCATAACCAAATATTAATACTGAAGTATAAAAGTATCTGGAAAAATGTGGTGATAAGTGTGGTAAAATGAACAGAGTGGTAAACCGGTAAATTACTGAACTATGTACCATGTTTTATTACATTTTCAACAGTAAAATACTGTAATTTATTTATTGAATAAAAGTGATATTCTGACACAGTGTGAAATGATATCGAAATGGTATTCTCAGAGTATGAGAATATCAGAAGTGCAATAAAACTCGAGATTTTTCTTCCCTACACGAAAAGTTTTTTCAAGCTTAAATATGACGTCACAGTCTATGACGTGCTACGAAAAGACTGAGGCAAAGGGAAAATCAAAGAAAATGTAATAAACAGAAAAATTCAATTTCAATAAACACTGATTATCCTCTATATATCTGGTGTTTCTATGATTCACGGGTACACTAGTCTAAGAATGAAGGCGTTCAATTTTTTTTTGTCCAAACAATATAACAGCAACAAAAACAAAATGGAAATTTAAATTATTTATTGCATTCCTTCAAAGTAATCTCCTTTAAAGATTTAATACAGAGCTGAAGTCGTTTAATCCAGTCAAAAAAACACTTTTCATAAGTTTTTTTTGGAAGGGGGGGGGGTATACTCTTAAACACTAAAAAGTAGCTGAGCCCAGCGCTAACCGCGATTGAAAACGCCTTCCAGAAGAGCTTCTTTTAGTTTTGATATAAGAAAAAATAGTCCATCAGCCAGGCCATGAATTTTTCGGTATGGGTATTGGATGAATAATTTTCATGATTATTTTATGAAGGATATACATCTCTACCTTCAGAAAATGTATGATAGTATTCATTTTATAGTGGCTTTTATGATGTATCAACCGTTTATATACACCCATCCAAAATTTTAATTCTTTCAACTGTGTCTATGAAAGAAGAAGGTGGGTTTATTCAATTTACATTTTCTATCTTATTTCGATTGATATCTTCTTGGAAATTCTTTCATATGCAGGCCATGCTATTAAACTTTTCAATAATTATTCAATATTGGCTCTGTAATGAGCCCTCTAAATAATAAGGGGATATAATCTTACCCATGATCATAAAGTGGAACATGATGTTTTAAAATTATAATTATATAATAAGCTGAAAGAAATTATTTCTGTGACAATTTTAGCATTAAAAACATATTGCACATTCATTTTATTTAAAGAATTTTATTCAATAATTGGCATTTCAAAACATATTTTCAGTATCGAATATATATCACTTGATTTCTTAGTAAATCTTTATCCCTACCCCAAAAATGAAAATTAATGAAAATTTCCTTTGATTTACTCTGTGTGCATATGCTTTATGAAACATACATATTATATTATATCATTTGAATAAAAAAAATTATAGGGGTATTTATGAAAAGAATGCGTGAAACAGACCCATCACGTCAATATGTCATAAGGTCAAGGCCATAAGTCAAAAGGTCACAACGTTTTTCTAAAACAGTATCCTGTTAATCTCTGTACTTCTTGAGCCACAAATCAAATATGTAACAACATGGCAGAGAACAAGCCAAAATGCATCATACACATGAACAAATCAACAAAGGATGATGAACACTTAATAAGTACTTAATAAGGACACACAGACAGCTGGTGGAATAACTCTATTCAGTGTAAAAGCAGAAGCTGTTAAACGCTACTATATATATAAATGCAGAGTATCAAAGCTTTTCCTTTAGGACTTCTAAGGCAACATGGTTGGAGAAATCTCATACAGAATAACAACGTCCATATTCAGAGGGACGCACAGGCTGTGTCAGCAATTGTCGATTTGATAAAGGAATGGGTAATACCTTTTGCAGAGAAGCAGGATCTTGTTAGCATATCACCTGCCAGGGTTGTGCCAAGAGAAATAACAACGGACTTGCTGCATATCAGATTGGTGAAAAAGCTTATATAACCTTCAGAAATGAAAGACTGGAGGCAGATCCAACGGATATTAAGTTCCATGAACGATTAAGACTTAAGACATTCAGCAATTCGAACCAAAAACAGGAGGTGAGTTCAAATGGACGCATAGCAATCTTGAAAGCTGACACAACTTTGTTTGGTCATATAATAGTAATGGCACAAGGTCGTAATCTGCAGATTGAAAATAGTCTTTCCTATCCACTATAGTCTGTCCCACGACCGGAACGTCACTACTTTTTGCAAGATATCTCAAAATATATAAATACCTTGGCTTTCAACCTAGGTTCAATCGGTAGATTGATTTTTTTCCAAACTTCCTGCATTTATACGAACCCTCGAAGTCAACCAGTGTATTGACACGGCGGCAAATTCAAAGTCTACGGGGATTTAACATTGTCAAAATGGCAGCCACTTCGGAAGGGGATCCATCATTATTCGTAATTTTCCGTACATTGCCGTCAGTGAGGTAATGACGTCACGCACGTTCGGGAATGCTCTGTACTTATCGACGTCCAAAAAGCTATAAAGCCCGAAACTTGCCAAGTATATATTTAGGCCTATATATAGGAGAAATTACGTCTTCGACAAAACTTTCATACCCGATCAAAGATTTTTAAAAACAGCTAGCCTATACACTGCATAAAGAAAAGAGGTATGACTCAATTCATATATCCTTTGAGATATGATTTGGAATTATGTTAAAAACAATCTAGGCAACTGCAAATTTAGCTCAAGTGATTTGACTGCTTTTATTGCCAAAACGTAGAGATCTAACTTCTAGTAAGCGTAGTCATATTATTATTAAGATTATTAAAATTAATTGCTGCTTTACCTTACTCCTTAGCCTTCCACATAAATCCAACTTCCTATAGTTTGTTGTAAACACGGTCAAAATAAGCATCGTATCACTTCTATGTGAACAATTGATGTCCATAACTGCTCAGTGTATCCTGTTTTTGTTAGACTTTCAACACTTTAAACACATAAATCCACAATCAATATTACATTTTGAATCTCGGTGCAAAACAACAATTGTTGTCTGCATCAAACTACGTCACCAATGGAATTTGACCTTGCCCTTCGATATCGGCATTAGGTAAATTCAGGCCCTTGGATATATTTTTAGTGTTTCCACAAATATAACAGAATGCCAAAAATTAAATACTCAATCCTACACTCAAAAACTACATAACACAAGTGTAAAAGATTATATTCTAATTTTTTTTATTGTAGTTTTTCCTTTTCTTTTTTATCATCTTCTTTTTTTTCTTTTGGTAGAAAGGTTAATAGTTTTACATATGAAAAAAAAAGATTATACATGTATGTATATTGACACTTTCAATACATTTGCAAGACATGAAGTCAGAGTCAGCTGCTAGTCTGATTCTCATATAATAAAAAAAAATTATTCATAAAAACAATAGATGAAATTTTTGAAACAAGAATTTAATTGCAGGATACCAAAATAGCTACCTGGTGAAGACACAATATAGACAAACACAAACAAACAAGTACATAAAATAAGTTCAGCCATAAGTAGCTGCAGATACATCCTAAGTTATTTTGGCTATATGGACTGTAGATCTATGTATCAGTCTGGGCACCTTAGTTGTCAGAATACCTCATTAGTATACAAGTATTTGTAATGCAGAGGTCCTAGGTTTGATTCCTAGTCAAGCAAAATGTTTTTCCTCATGTATTTGTAAATTTTCAAAGTAATTGTTTATTCATTATTCCATTCCCTAGTACATATGGCTTCCTGATATACATTTTTTTCTAAATTGCATAATACTATGGAATCATTTTAATTTGTGGAGGTCAGTGTTTGTGGGCAGGCATATAGTTTTGCTTTTTTGTGGACAGGACATAAATAAGGTTAACAAAAATACAATCAAAGGAATTAATGGATTGATTAAGATGTTAAAATAAGCATTTGTGGAAATATAAATTTATGGGTATAGTTGATCCATGTGATAAAATCCAAGAATGTTGGTCCCCCACAAACAATGATGATTCCACAGAAGATGTCAATCAGTTTTTGTAAGCTACCTGTCTGAAATGGGCAAAGTAATTAATCATACTCAGATAATTGTTTTCAAAATTTTATTACTGCTTGTTTATCAGCTAGATATAATTATATGTTTTTAAAAATTATCAAATAGAATTGCTTCAAACTTTAAACACATTTAGTGAGATTACAGGAAATATTGCAAACAATTAATAAATTGTCTTTCCTTTATTTAAAGATATCAGATCAAATTTAGAAGATTAAATGATTATGAAAATTGAGTGTCC